CACAGATAGCCCATTGTGTAGCTTTGGGCTTAATAAATAATACATATCTAGGCCAAATATTACAAACTAGCTTGTAACGAAAGAATAACATATTTTGAAAGAGTTTTACTGAACCCAAATGTTTTGTCTATTTGTTGCTTAGCGCAAGGCTATATACACTGGGCTATCTTTAATCTGCCCACTGCAGATATCGTAATCCAATTTTTAGCATTATAAACCCTTAGACTTACCGCTGACCCACGTGGGGGCGAATCCAAATGTAGCTGATTGATTAAATAATTTCGATTCGCTTTATCATTCACAGTCACATTGACATGAAAAGCTAGAGAAAATGTGAAACTTGTTAGAACTATTGCATGAGATTCCTGGATCATTCACAGTCACATTGACATGAAAAGCTAGAGAAAATGTGAAACTTGTTAGAACTATTGCATGAGATTCCTGGCCCGTTATATGAAAAGCTAGAGAAAATGTGAAACTTGTTAGAACTATTGCATAAGATTCCTGGCCCGTTATGGCCAGGTGGTTAGGGCGCTTGACTCGCAATCTAAGGGTCACGGGTTCGAATCCCCGTCCCACCTAACCTGCTCGCCCTTCCAGCCGTGGGGGCGTTATAATGTGACGGTCAGTCCCACTATTCGTTGGTAAAAGAGTAGCCTAAGAGTTGGCGATGGGTGGTGATGACTAGCTGGCTTCCCTCTAGTCTTTCATTGCTAAATTAGGGACGGCTAACGCAAATAGTTCTCGTGTAGCTTTGCGCGAAATTAAAAAAACAACAAATAAACAAGCATGAAAGTCCTACGTGTGTAATAATAAGTTATGATTGAAAGTAAAGAATAATATGATAATACCTCGACCATTCCACACGTGCTACACGTGCTACATCTACGAGGCCTTTCGCACGTGTCGCAGCTTAACATATCTAGAAACAATTTTATAGACAAGCATTGCTCACTAAACTCTAGAACAATTCGTTTAATAAATATTGTTTCACTGAATTCTGAAACAAGTTGTGGCTATAAGTATTGTTTTAGTTAACTCTGGAACTAATTCTAACAATAAGTATTGTTTTAGTTAACTCTGGAACTGATTCTAACAATAAGTATTGTTTTAGTTAACTCTGGAACTGATTCTAACAATAAGTATTGTTTTAGTTAACTCTGGAAC